CTTATGAGTTGTGCGTAGGTAGCATAGCCTTCAATGTAAGAAGCAGATTGCGGGCGACCAGGCGGCTCCTTGTAAAACCATGTTAGCGGGACCTGGCCTGGGGTTTTTTTTTTCTTCTGGTCGCTGACAGGAAAACTTCATTTCCAAAGCATGAGCTTCTAGACTGCGTTGCGGAGTAATGCGTTGGAGTACCTCATGGGGGTTTGCCAGCATCGAAATGCAGAGAGCAACTCACCGCAACTCACTTCACATCGCCAGAGACGCGTGCCGCTAGCGCTGCTGCAGTGGCATCAGGATCAAGCGTCCGTAGCTTGCTTTGATATGCAGCCTTCCACAGGGGAGATAACATGGGATTGTTTACTCATGCCCCCATAATCCCCCTCACTGCATCCTGAAGGCAAATTGCACAGTGGTCAGCGTGCGGAAGCATCACATCTCATCGGCAGGGGGCGCCGGAAAGTTGTAGGGGACCGCAAGGCCGTCGCCGCATCGCCGCCAGAAGCGATCAGGGCCTGTTGTCAAGCATGTTGCTGCGTACCCACTAGCCTGCTAGCGTCATTCCCGCCCCGTTGTCGTTGTTGACCCCGTTTTCAGCCTGTGGGAATCTCGTGTGGACGAAGTCGTGGTCGTGGTCGTAGCCGTAGCCGTACACTGGTTCGTAGTCGCCGCCACTCGCGGCATAGATACAATACGGGTACAAGTACCTAGTGGACCGGGCGAGGTCTCCTCCCTTTTGCATGTAAGCCGCGGTGCATCCCACGTACAGCATACCTCGAATGTCTCTCCATCGCCCGCCTCTCTCTCGTGGGCCACTGGCAGCCCGTCGGTCGTTGGTCCCTACTTGACTTGGTGGACCCCCGACTGGTCTCTGGCCACGGACTAAATATAGTGTATAAAACTGAGCTAAGGCTCAAGGTCGAAAGTGCGAAGAACAAGCGTGAGGAAGAAAGAATGGATGAAAGCAAGAAAAATGTGGCAACCATGGGATGATGCGGCATGCAGCTGCAAACTCTGAGATCGGATCGGAGGCCGGGCCTCAGTCAACATCATGGGAGGCTGTCAAACCTCAACGGCCGGCCTCGAGAATTAGGCATGGCCGTGGTGCAGCATTCTGAGCCAAGCAAGTGACTTTAACAGGCCATTAAATGCGCCGGAGGTAGATTGGGACGGAGTCGTAAGACAGGACACTCTTTTTTGGACGTCCGGATATAAAGTGCGTCGTTCGACAGGGCTTCTCCGTCTGTGATTTGTTCGTGATGGCTGCGGCGCTGCTGCTTGCTGAAGCGGCCGAGCTGCGGAGCCCATCGTGAACGGCTTCGCTCCCCCCTCCGTCGGCCAGCACCTGGGACGCCCTGACCAGCCAAACCAAGTCCGGCAGCATCTCCAGACGGGCCTCAATCCACACGTTCCGCAGTCGGGCCCCCGTGGACTCTGGAGTGGGAGATGGGTGTCGAAACTTGAGAGATGACCTGTGAAATTTCCTTCCCGGAACAGGGGAGGCCATCCCTTCCGATATGCACGTAGCATTACCTCACCATCTTAGCCAGGCGAAGCCACTGCGGTGGGGTAAGCACGAACTCAAATACGGGGAAAGCGTTCCCTTTTTCTTCGTATCCCCCGGCCCATCACACGTAACAGGTGAATGACCACTGCACTGCAGCAAAAGAGGGGGGCAGAGGCCAGAGGCAGACAGAGATATTCATACAGGCCGGACTGGCCAAGAGAGACTGACTGAGGCGAGGCGGGTGTAATTGGCTGGGCAGGATTCGTAAGGCATGTGTTTGTACCGCCGTGGCGGTCTGGCTGTCTTGCCCTCCGCCGAGAGTTGCGTTGACGAGCCTGGTTTTGGTGAGCTTAGCTGCGCGATCTGCTGCTGATACGGGAGACCGGCCGAGTTGAGGAATCTGCAGGGTCGAGCTACTGTGTTGTATTCGTGCTCCACGACTGTACGCTACTTGTTGGTGCGCATCACCTAGTTGGTCCCCTAGGCTTTGGGGCGACGGCGGTGTGGTGTGTGGTGTGTGGTGTGCCTCAATCCCGAATAGCTGGCTCTGTCCCAGCGCAGGTCTTCGCTGTACTGTCTGTGTACCTTGCGTAAGGGGTCCCGATGTGAGGCTGGAGGGAGGCGATTCGGGGTCTTAGTGTGAAGATTTTCGTATTGGGTCTAGACGAGGGCCGTTTGTTGCCGCTCCTCGTGCCTCGTTTCAACGCAAAGGCAGAAGGCGATGGATTGCCATTACGTGTATTTGTTGTGTCGGAGGAGGCGTTGCGTCTCCTGGATGCAGCTTCTCATCTCTCGTCTTACTGTGCCTGGGCCTGTGCTCTGCGCTCTGCGTGTGCGTGTGATGCCGCGTGATGCTTGTTGGTAGGTAGGCTTGGTAGGCGGGTAGGAAGCTGTCAGTCCGGAAGTTGGGATTGGCGCTGATGAGCTGCGTCGGCCGTGCTTCAAAGGGGCTGCTGCGCGTCTGCGGGACATGTTGATGATGTGCCTTTTGCAGTTGCTTCAAGGCCCTGCGTAAGTGAGTATGAGCGCCTGTGCCTGCACTGGTGGTGCTGATCAGCCTGCTGCACTATTCCATCCAGCCATTTGCCTCCATCTGGCCGTCACCAAACGGTGCCGGACCAATCCCATGGGCAGGTTGGCGGTTCCTTGGCGTGTTCAATGTTGTGATGTGTGTTTTGTTTCCCTTTAAGAGAGTACCGTCGGCTTACCTCATTCAGGAGAGAGTGTCGAACGCGGGCATGTCTGTCGCCCAGGAGCAAGGGGTAGCATGGTCGTGATTCGCCGCCTCTCGGCCGTTTGCCCAATGGCAAAATGCCAAAATTCTCCAAGCCGAGAGACAACTCCCCGAGACGAAGAGACGCGTTCGCACCATTCCGTATTGGGGGCTTCCTGAAGGTCCGCCCTGTGTGGTGGAAGGTCTCACACAGGTCTTGTCTTGGTCTTGTTGGGAGGACGAGACGAGCAGCAGAGGAGAGAGGAGAGAGGTGGTTGAGCGAGCTTGGTGCAGTGTGAGGCCTGGCGTTGTGTATTCTGAAAACCTACCTAGGCACCTAGGCAGGCAGGAGCGTCCTGAAGGCGGGCTGATGAAGCTGACGGAAGGTGCCCCTGGGACCACAGCAGCACACTGAGTAACTGAGCAGATATCCGTAATATCTTCTGATGAACAGCGGACAGAGTGCTGAGTGAAAGGGGCATGGCCTGGCATGGCATGAATTGCACATCGAAGGCCATGGCAGCAAATGGGGGGGGAAAGTCCCCTACCTGCTGAATTGGACCAGTCAGAGGCGGCGGCGCTGGACAGGGCACCCAGGCTGCCGTGGACATCACAGGGTGCCGGGGTAGACGGGACATTTCGCTCCTCGCTGCTCCAAGCCCCAGTCGAGGTAGCGGGTACGAATAGGAACGTCGAACGGGTGCATGGTGTGGGCAGTGGTGCAGTAAGTCTGCCTGTGGACACTCGGCCGGGGTCCCCTCCCAGGATGCTTTGGTCCAAGTGGAACTTCATCGCCGTCTGGCTCCAGCAAGCCAATGCAGCATCGGTACGATAGTGCCAAAAACCTTCCCATCTGGCAGTCTCCAATCTCGACCAGACCCTTCCTGCCTATCCACCGTCTGTGTCTGTCTCCAGTCTCCAGTCCAGCGTGCTCCTCCTCCTTCCAGGACTCTCGTTCACTCACCTCGCACCTCATCATCTTCACACCTGACTTCCTCTCTCTGTATCCCCTCAAAAAATTCCCATCTCGTCTTCCTTCCCTTTTTCCCTCCCCCCTTCTCTTAGTCCCCCTTCTCTACTACAGCCTCCTCAGCCCTTTCCCCCCCCCCCCCAAAGAAAAAAAAATCATTCCCAATTCGTCCCATCAACGACCCCTTTTTTTCGTCCCAAAAAAAAAAGTCACGAAATCCCCCCCCCCAACGCTGAGGTTGTCTGACTCTCAGGGTCCTGCTTCCTAGGTTGTCCCCATATTCAAATCCCCGGTCCAACGTTGTCCCCTCGATCACACCTCAACTCGTCCTTCGCTCTTACCGTCGTTCTTACTGTGCCTCCTTTCCTTCCGCGTGTCGCCCATTCATCTTTCCCAACCCAACAACCAAAAAAAACCACAAACCGAAAACACAACCGACTCCTCTCACGATTGCTTCCTCTTTGTGAACCCGACGGAGCTTCTCGAAAAGCTTCCTTCCCATAGCCGACGACGACAACGATTAGACGATCCCGTGCCCTGACTCGTCATCACCCATCCCTCTCCGTTCCCGACGACTGCTGCGTTACGATTTCGAACCGGATACGAGTCCCTGACATTCCCATGTTCTTGGTCGATTGCTAGCTACGACTCGAGTTGTCTGCGTGACACTTGATCCCCTCTTCTCTCTGCCCTCGGTCGATCACCTCTTCCATTTTGGCTACTACTTCGTCGACGACGGCGAAGACGACGACTTCGCGGTAGCAGTGAAGCGTCTACTCTCTTCGGCACGACGACACCGTTACTGCCCCTGGCCGCAGGCGACCTTTCATTCCACACCGAGTTCTGACCATTCACACCAACTTCACTTCTCCCACAGGGTCATTGGTCACCCGGGATACAGCAGAAATATTTCTTCCCCTTGCATTCGAGAAACTCAAAGGTTCGTCGATCGCCTATCTCGCAAATCATCCTGTACCTTTTCACGGCGAACGAGGCTTGTGTGTGTTCGCAGCCTCGCCATACGAATGGCTTCATTTGGATATGCTGCTGGAAGCGATACATCTTGGCTAACAACTAATTTTCAGTATTTAGCATTTGAGCTGCAATTTGCTAGTTCACCCGTCTATAACCATCTGTCGCCGTTACGTCCAAGTCTGCTTGGACCTGACCTAGGAGCAAAACGAGGTTGACGTAAGAGCACTCGTTCGGCACCTTTGCAGTTGTCGTTTGATTGGAATATGGCTGCGTTGGTTCAAACGTATCCCCAGCAGACCAGCACTGTCACTCTCCAGACCCGATCATCCGGAAACATGATGCCCGCACAAGCTCAGGCAAATCAGCAGTACATGGCCGCCCAGCAGGCGCAGCGAAACTTCTCGGGGGCGTCAGGCGTTTACCGCGGCAGTAATGCTCCCATCCAGCCCTATGCCTTCACCAGCACTCCCAGCCTGAACACGACTGGCCAGTGGCAGCAGTATGGCAACGGTTATCGCACGGCATCTTCTCCCGCTGTTCCGACACAGGGTATGGTTCAAGGACATGATGGCAACCGGTCTCGTCACACTGGAAGCTCTTCCGTTTCATACAGCCATAACATGGGTACGAGCCAGGGCGGATCCAGAGACGATTCAGCCATCCCCGCCGCTCGCACAAATCCCCAGGCACAGAGACCTCAATCTGCGTATCTTGCCGGCAGCACGACACCGCAAATGACGTTCGCTCAGGCCGCCGGTGCTAAGACGACACCTGATAGGTACAGGCGCCCGGCTCTCCAGCAACAGCAGCCTCGCCAGACTAGCGCCCCTTCAGGGTCAGGCATGGCCACCGTTAGTCATTTGTACAATGCACCTGGCTCCAATGACCAGAAGAGCGCGTCAGTGCGAAGCCGGAATGCGTCTTTCCAGAGCAGACCAAGCAGTTATTATGGCGCGGTTGATGACATGCAATTGAATCGACCGGCGGAGGACACCATGCGACTGAGGCGGCGCAGCATGCATTCGCTAGACTCTGCCGATTATCCCAAGCCGCTAACCCCACAGGAATTCGCTCAGTCGGAAGAATCCTCCCGTCCCGACCGCGTTCCAACTCCCAAAAACAACGAAAAATCGCTTCGCATGGTTTCCAGTCTCGCTCCTCCCACCGACACCAACATGCATGTTCGCAATGGCAGCGCAGAAAGCGTCGCGTCGAGTCGAAGCAGCCATTCGCGGCCGTCCTCGGTAAGCATCTCGCTCTGCACGCCGCATTACCTGTTTTTGTTGATGCGTCTTCTCGCCTCATCCCTCTCATGGATTGCCCAATCACGCATTGGCCCGACCATCCTGAAGTGTTCCATCGCTAACAAGGTTATTTCCACCAGTCTGCCAACCGTAGCGTACCCGCCCCCACGGCAAACCCCTCTCTCTCGTCTTCTTCAACCCCAGATGATGCTTCATCAAAACATGACCAGCTCAAGATCGTGAACATCCCGCCACGAAACTCATCGTCAGATGCGGCCAAGCGACAACCCACTCCGTCTCCTCTCTCCAAGCCGGTGACCATGTCGACCGAGTCCAGTCCCCAAAAACCACCTTCCTCTCTGGGAAATGCTCCGCAGCAGGCTGCATCCAACGCCAACGCCAGCAGCCCCGCCGCGCAGCAGCTCGCAGCAATCAAACAGAATGGCACGAAATCGAAGAGCAAGACATCGCGACTTCGCCGCGCATTCTCTTTTGGTAGCGCCGCTGATTTTAAGAAAGCTGCTGGTCCCGAACCCCCGGTGGAACCCAGCAATGTGAACGCCGGTGATGCATCGAAGTTGCACAAGGACCCGACCGCAGATGAGTTGTATGAGGCTGAGCAGGCGGCCATCGCCAAGAAGCAGGAGGAGGGGGGAATCGGCAGCAACATTTACGGCGGAAGGCTCTTTTCTGGATCGACCGACAACCTGTCCATCTCGTCGACGGCGTCCTCTGCTTCTATCATGATCCGTAAGATGGGTCGCGGCATGAAGAAGAGCACGCGATCATTAGTGGGTCTCTTCCGACCGAAGTCCGTTATTGGCGTTCCCGCCGCCGATGCCATGGCTCCGGAAGCTAGCCAGGCCGCTGTCTCAATGATCACTGTCGAGGCCGAAAGAGTCAACGTCAACCCTGACCCCCGCGCACAAAATGGCGGTGGTACAGGGTTCCCTCACCTGGAGCGAAACTCGCTGGACGTCTCCAACACTCCTAGCATGGTTTCCGAGCGTGCTGGAAGTTCTGGCACCGACAGCGCCGGTCGAAAGAGCATCGTGGGTGGCGACAGGCAGCGTGCCGAGGTTCTAGCTGCTGTCAGGAAAGGCATCCTCAAGCACAACGGCCGATCAAACAGCCCAGCACGCGATGGCGCCAAGCCCTTCGAACTCCCCGCCATCCCCAATGTCTCCGACTCGCCCATTTCCACCGCGCCTAGCACGCCGAATGATGAGGCACAAGGCCACAAGCGTTCGGGGTCGGTCGCCATTGGCAGCGAGGATTATTTCATGACCGCTCTTAGACTCCGCCAAGACAGCAAGAGTGCTCCTGGAACGCCTTCCGGAGGTACCAAGAGGAACGCGACATTTTCACCGAGAATCGTCTTTCACGACACATGGCCAAGTGGAGAGTATGATCGCAGGGGCGAGATTGCTACATGCAACCGTCTGACGCCCATGTTGGCTCAGCAGATCAAGGAGGAGCTCAACACATTCAAGATGGTACGTTGGTATTGCAGGAAATTTCCAGACTCGCAAACGCTAACAGCACGCAGGAAATGGAAGTTCACGAAAACTCCAAGATTTACACGCACTTCTTCTGACGACGGCTACGCCTGCAAGATGGAATCTTCCAAATTTTGCTTCTTGATGATGGGCACACCCAACCCATCATGTATTTGAACTACATTTACCATTCGACGGCGTTCAGGAACAGCATCGTACGGTGTCAAGGCGTTCTCAGTCGTCACTCGACAGCATTTTCCATTGCCTGGCTGGAATGGCTGAAGGGCCGCCCTCCATCGATTAATTTTCTGCGGATGGGCTGGGCGACACTCGGAGTTGGCGGCCAGCCAGAACAGCATACACAGGCCAGTCAGTGCATATACGGGCCGAAAAGCCTGTCTGCATTTGGGCAGCGATCACACGGACCATGGGACACGATGGCGATAATGGTGGTAGCCTCCATTGTTCTTACACTTTTTATCAGATGGGCCCAAGCCTTCTGGAGGACGAGATGCGGACTCTACGGAGATCCCATTGCACTCGACACTCGGTCGAGTTTTTCTGTGTTTGTATTTGCTTTGTCGGCGGTCAAAGGGTTTTCTTTATCTGTCGGTTCCATTCGCGTTCTGTGGCCTTCCAGTTGCGTGGAGTCAAGAGGAGGCAGATAGAAAGTGTGTGTGTGGCTTTTTCATCTCGAAAAAACAGCTTTTGTCTCAGCGAGGTCTTGATGCTGGTATCGACCATTCCAGCGAATTGAATACTTTAGAGCGTACTGCCTCCCTGCAAAACTTTATCCCGGGTTGCATGTGACGACGGGTTGAAATGCCACCCACCAAGCGAAGTCCTTTGTTCTCCTGCCGCGCCCTGACTGGTCTGACACACCGTCTCAGTGCTAGATTCAGACGAGCGGCGCGATGAGACCCAGGCACCTCGTTGTACCTGGTACATGCTACCCCTTGCGGACCAGCGGGACGACGTCATTCGTCGTGCGTCGAGGTCCCCTTGGGTGCGTGGGGGAATTGGCAGAGACCCGCAGCCCCACCAATCAGATAAGCTCAGAGTCCTCAGCCTCGTGCCCACCTGCGCAAGGCTCAAAACTTTTTTTTTTTGGTCCCGCCTATCGCCTTCGCCATCACCCATCAAAGTCGCCCATGGACGATGCAGCACTTGGTCGCATGCCCACTGGACTGAGAATACCGACATTCTGGAGATTTTACTGAGGCTACGGAGGCTCCGGACGCCTCACATCATCCGGCTTACCCGCTCCTTCTCGACAAAAATGGCGACACACGCGACCGACACAACCGCCGCGGGGCCCGAGGCCGCTGCGGAGGTCAAGCCGAAGCTTCACGGTCGGGCCTTTTACGAGAGCATAGGGAGCCCAAAGTACATCCTGGCTCCCATGGTGGACCAATCTGAATTCGTGAGTTTTCCCTTGGCCTCCCATGAACTCGGTTGCCTCGGGCGCATGACTGACAGCTTGGCGTTTATGTAGGCATGGCGAATGCTGAGTCGATCGTTCCTTACCCCCGAAGAGCAGACCAACCTGGTCGCATACACGCCCATGTTCCACGCCAGGATCTTCAACGACACGGAGCACTACCGCGACGGTCACTTCCAGGCCGTGCGCCCCGCGACCAACGGCGGCACCGAGGCGAAGCCGACGCCGGAGCCGTGGCTCGACGGCAACCCGAAGATCGACCGGCCGCTGTTCGTGCAGTTCTGCGCCAACGACCCGGACGCGCTGCTGGGCGCCGCTCTCAAGGCCGCGCCGTACTGCGATGCGGTGGACCTGAACCTGGGGTGTCCGCAGGGCATCGCGCGCAAGGGCAAATACGGCGCGTTCCTGCAGGAGGACCAGGAGCTCATCTTCAAGCTGATCAACACGCTGCACAAGAACCTGCCGATCCCCGTGACGGCCAAGATCAGGATCCTGGACACCAAGGAGGCGACGCTCGCGTACGCCAAGAACGTGCTCGCGGCGGGGGCGTCGATCGTCACGGTGCACGGCCGCCGGAGGGAGCAGAAGGGCCACCTCACGGGGCTGGCGGATTGGGGCATCATCAGGTGGCTGCGCGAGCAGCTGCCGGCTGAGACGGTGCTCTTCGCGAACGGGAACATCCTGCAGCATGCGGACCTGGCGCGCGCGCTGGAGGCGACGGGCGCGGACGGGATCATGAGCGCGGAGGGGAACCTGAGCGACCCGGCCATCTTCGGCAGGGAGCCCGAGCCCGGGAGCGAGGTCGAGAAGAGGGAGTACTGGCGCGGGAGGGACGGCAAGGGCGGGTGGAGGGTGGACGCTGTCATGAGGCGGTACATGGACATTCTGCACAGGTACGCGGCCGGTGTGGAGCCGCCTGCGCGGCGTCCGCTGTTTGTGCCTGGCGACGACACGGCGTGGATGAAGGAGATGGACCAGGCTGCTGCTGAGGAGGACGAGCCTGCGCGGAAGAAGAGGAAGAAGGACACGCCCGGGAAGAAGGCGAGCGGCAAGAAGGAGCGCACGAATAACCCAAACTACGCGGCGATGCAGCCGCACATGTTCCACATGTTGAGGCACTTTGTGTCGAAACATACCGACGTCAGGGACATGCTCGCGCGCGCCCGGGCGGGCGACATGGAGGCGTACGAGGAGATTTTGAGCAAGGTGGAGAGGAAGGTGGCGGACGGACTGATCGAGTATGAGAAGAGCGATGGGAAGATGTTTGAGACAGAGGGTGAAGGGGGGGAGGAGGAGATTGTCGAGGATGGGGAGAGCTCCAAGGGGGCTGTGCAGAGGTGTGCGAGGCCGTGGTGGGTTGTGCAGCCCATCATCAGGCCGTTGCCGAAGGAGGCCATGGCCAAGGGGGCTGTCTCGCTGAGCAAGAAGGACAAGGCCAAGTTGGCGAAGGAGAATGGCAACGGGGAAGTGAATGGCGAGAAGAGCGTTGAGGAGAAGGTCTTGGGAGACGGGTGACAAGTTGATTGCGGGTTGACGATGGAGACGAAAAGTAATGGAAATGATATACCCCCTTCTCACTTTAACTTTATGAACGATGTTGCTTGGTGTGAGATATGAGTGACGATGTAGGGCGACCAGTTGGGTGACGGGAGCTGGGAGGGCAAATGAGACACCTCATCGCGACGAGTATGAACAGCTTACATGAGTTGAAGTCAATCATTGACTGTCTCTTTCTCCTTGCTACTTGCTTTGTGGGTAGTGGCCAGAGTAGGCAGCAGCCCTTCGAATTCTGACCACATGCATGTCTTTCGAAGAAGGCCGCTTAGTGAAGCATTCTGATGAATGATACCACTGGTAAAAATCCAAGATTCTCTCAGTTCAACCCTCGAAGGTCGAACGGGGCTTTTTTTTCTCTTTTCTTTTACCTCTGCCTCCTCACATATCCAAATCCATTCCGTTGCAAGGGAAATTCTGTAGAAGAAAAATCTTATGCCTGCGGGATGAACGAAGTCCAAACGCCCATTTGACAGAGGAGAATTCCAGGTCTCATGATGTTTCTTTGGTCTTCTGCACGAGACTAGAAGTACATAAGTCAGATTAAGCCAATCTTTAACCACAAAAACAAAGACCTTATGTTGATTTGTTCTCCTGCTGTGAGAGCCTTAAAACCAGCGCCTATCTAGGATACATGGAGGCTGTATCATCTTACATGATATGGATGCTTGAATCTAGAGCTCGGAAGATGGGGCCAAGCCAGTTGTGTTAGTCTAACCCCAGTTGAGGGCTCGCATATTGTCATAACGTGCTCTTGTTTCTATTCCTTAAGACAGGTTAACTACTAGCCTCCTCAAATTAAGCAGATACGGTATCTGACGGGGAAGTACGGCAGAAAGGTGAATTGTGTCAAAACACTCCCATCTAAGTGCTCTAGAACACAACGGCCAAATGAATTACGGATCAGCCGAGTTTCTTGCTCGTCTCCTGTCTAGTCGGAGAATTTGGCTCTGGTGGGGACCAACACGAAAACATCCAAGGCTGGCAGGGGTTGAGGAGCTGCGCGGCGGCTAAAACATGTTGGAAGAGCTTCCAACCGCAGTATCTGATGGATCTGCCAAGAGATTCTCCAGCTGTGCCTCATCTAATTTTAAATGCAAAAGGTGTTGATTTAGTGTCGCATCCTAGACTGAACAGGAAGGCGTCAAGATGCGTGTCATAAGGGGGAGGCACGGCTGACACTGCGAACGCCTCAATTAACGACCTCCGAGAGCAAACCCGGACGATCACTGCACTACATACTCAATGTGCTTTTATATTCATCGATATGAGCGGAATGAATGGCTACAGGGAACCGGCGGAGAAGATCGTGGCTCACGAGTTGGATCACGGGCCGGAGGTCGTACCAGGACAGTACTGGCCCACGCCTGCCCACCACGGCATCGATGCCAGGCAGTATAGCCAACAAGTTCCACCGGGTTCTGGTTCTGATGTTCGGAGGATATGTGGATTGCATCGCTCGACATTCTACCTCGCGCTGGTTCTTGCAGTGGTCATCATCGTGGGATCGGTCGGCGGAGGTGTCGGTGGTTCGCTCGCGGTCAAGAACGCCCAGAGGTGAGAGGGCCAGACGCCCTCGTCGCGTTCATAAATGAGAAAGCTAATGTTAAGCATCCAGGGGCGCCCAGTCTGCACAAGAGTCCCAAGCTACTCCTACTCCGATCCCGACAGAGACCACGATAGCGACAAGCTCAGCAACGGGCTCAGCGTCAGGCTCAGCAAAAGCGTCAGCGACAGGCTCACCCACAACCACCGCCCGAATATCGATGCCCACGTTCGGACTGCTGGCGCTCGACTGTCCCAGTATTTCAGGGACCACCGCTTCCTTAACGGCAGGCGGTCAGTTGTCAACTTACGACCTCGACTGCGGGGTGGACAACAACGGGGACGGCATCGACATCATCGCTGTCGTTTCGTGGTCGCTGGAAGATTGTCTCAGGGCGTGCTCCTCGTTCAACGCGAACCGGAAGAGGGGATCTGAGAGTTGTGCTGGGGTGCAGTTCCATGCTGACGTTGTCGACTTGGTTTCGAGGTTCTCTGGGAACTGCTTTTTGAAGAATACGGAGGGCCGCGCGGTGACGGATACCAACTCGACGAACTTCAATCTGCATGTGTCGGCCATGCTCTATTCGTGAAAGTGTATGAGGGCCTCGTCGAGATGGGTGATGTAGCCCAAACGTCCGAAGACCTTGGCAGTAGATGTTACCATTCAAAGATGAATGCACATTTGACGAATTTGGGTATCAACGTCTCCAGCATTGGCCAGATTCAAAGACCTTGAACGATTCACTGTGTTGTCAACTTCAATCCACAGTTTCTCAGCTGCTGCTGACCTGTCTGGCCGTGCAACCCTTGAGAGATTTATCAGGACAGATTGGACAGATTGGACAGAGGTATCCCTCAGAGAAGTCTCTGCAAGCAGACGTATTCAACCTAAAGCAACATTCGTGACCTAAAGCAGCCGCAGTCCATATTCCGGAGAATTGAGTGTATCCTCAGAAAGATCAGTGTCATTTCTTGATGAGCAGGCGTGTTATGGGGATCACTGACGACCGATATTCGGAGAGTCCACATCAGCAGTGAATGAATACAGTGCTTCCCTTCAGAGCGCTCAGGTCAAAGTGTCCGCACAGCGTATTGCGAAAATTGCCCGCGAATTGGGCGAACTTGTTGTAGTTCCTTTGCAGGGAGTGTGCCTTAATTTCGAAATTATGTTATTATATTTGTCAATCGAGTCAACATTCGTTTCTCATCTCTTTCTGATTCTCTTCTGTCTGAAGTTTCTCTCGAGTCTCTCTACTCCTGGTTATATCGGTTTCTACTGACTCCTTTGAGTTGACCACACTTCAAAAATGTGTAGTAATAGCTGTGTGTAGAAACAATTTTGCAATTAGATAGCTTCCATAATGAGAACCCAATACCACATATAGGAGTGGAGTGCACAAGAGTCTCGTGGGTTGTTTATCGAAAAGTTCTACGTCGACCGAGTCCCAACTGCGTGCTTTACCTGTCTCCATTCTGGATAATGGAGGAAGTCGTTGTGCCACAGCTGTTGGGTCATCTCAAACATTGGTTCAACGGCGCAAGGTGCACCGACATCGAACCTGAAGCAGACTTCGATTTCTTAGTTTTGACTCCATTTTAACTTGCGGAACGTTTTTCGAAGTACACACGTAGAAACCAGTGGGATGTTCACCATAACCTGAGCAACCACCAAGCATCCATACCTAGGGACGAACCCGCCTCTTTCCCCAATTTCGGAACTGGTGCGGTTTTGGCCAACTATTCTGTGACCGGTTGCCTGCGATATCACGTTAGACGGCCAACAGAAAGATTTGCTCGCATGCAATTGCGAAGCTGGCTGGTCTTTCAAAAGGAGACGAAATGAAGTGGACGACATGCCTGCGGGGATCGGCGCCGAAGTCTCCACCACCCAAACGGATATCCCAACACTTGAAGTGATGCAGTCTGCCTCTCATATCCCGAAAAGCTGGCTGGCTGCGCCTTCACGAAAATGGACCTCGATTTCCACTGTCTTGAGCGTGTCTCTGCCGTGTCTGCAACAATTGGTCCTTCCTCACTAGAGTGCCACGTCGTGGAGGTGCGGATAGGCAAGGTAGGTAGTGCTCTGGTCATGCAGGTGCAGCTCCATCCAGCTGCTAGCGTTCCACTAGCTTTCGCTTAGGCAAGGACCCTGGCCGAAGGAACGGCTTCCGCCTGACATCACCCCATACTTTAGGCCCAGCCGTTCTATCTAGATTTTGAGCCCAGCTTCTCTCTTTCCTCTCTCCAAACCTCCTCCGCGCCACACACCGACAGAACTGCCACGATGAGCGACGAAGACGACTTTGTGGTCGAAGGACCAGAGCTCGCCGAGGATGACCCCATGCGCGCATTCCTTCCCGCCTCATTCGGCAAGAAGTCCAAGGAAGCGAACATTGCCGCCCAAATCGACCGCAGCCGAAGAACGACAGAGAAGGCCTCGGCGGGGGGTTCTAAAGAAGGATCCGCAGGTCCGCCCAAAACTGAACAGACTGAGAAGAAGCCCGACTCAGATAGTGACAGTGACAGCGACGCAAACTCGGACTCGGACGATTCGGATGACGGCGACGATTACCCCGTTTCCCATGAGCTGGTACTGAAGACCCACGAAAGAGCGGTAACGACGGTGACGTTGGATCCCGCCGGCGGACGACTTGTCTCAGCTTCTCTCGATTGCAAAATCAATTTGCACGACTTCGCCTCCATGACGCCGAGCACACTGCGTGCATTTCGAACTGTCGACCCTTGGGAAACGAAGGCTTCTGCTGCGAGCGCCGAGTCGCATCCGATCCACCATGTCGAGTTCAATCACTTGTCGGGCAGCGCCTTCCTATGTGTCTCTGCACACCCACAAGCAAAGATCATGTCGAGGGACGGCGATATCTTGACCGAGTTTGTCAAGGGCGACATGTATCTTCGGGACATGAACAACACTAAAGGCCATATTTCGGAGGTTACAACCGGCACATGGCATCCTGCCGACAAGAACCTCTGCATCACCGCTGGTACAGACAGCACCCTCAGAATTTGGGACGTCAACAACAAGCGCAGCCAGAGAGACGTGATTGTCTTCAAATCGAAGGCAGCCGGGTCGGCCGGTCGGACGAGGATGACGGCGGTCGCATGGGGCTCACCAGTGCAAGGAGGCAACAACGTGCTTGTCGCAGCAGCATTGGACGGGTCTTTGGTCATGTACAGCGGCAATAGCCCCTTTTCACGGCCCACTGCCGAGATCCGCGATGCCCACAAGCCGGATACATGGACTGGTGGCATTGACATTTCTTCCGATGGCCGAATGGTGGTCACTCGAGGAGGAGACAACACTATCAAGCTGTGGGACACACGCAAGTTCAAGACGCCTCTCGTTACCGTGGACCACGCCTCTACATCGGACCATTTCCCGATGAGCAATATTCGGTATTCGCCAAACTCGACCAGCATCCTAACTGGTTCCGCGAATGGCGATTTGCACATTCTCAACCCCGGGAACCTGCGCCCCGAGCATGTCACACCCATCACGCCAGGAGCGCCTCTGATCACAGTCGACTGGCACCCGAAAATCAACCAGATTGTCACTGGATCGGCGAATGGAGAGACCCATGTCTTGTACAATCCTACAATGTCTACTCGCGGCGCCGTCGAGGTCATGTCACGAGCGCCAAAGAAGCGGCACATTGATGACGATCCGTCTCGCACGACCGACATGTCTGTGGGAATGTCGGGTGATTCGATCGTCACACCGGGCGGTGCGATGGCTGGCAGGAGGACGGGCGGAGTTACAGCATCCGGCAAATCTCGCGACCCGAGAAGACCTGCGGTGCTGGAGCAGACGCCATTCATGCGAAATCAGCCGGACGAGAAGCACATTGCGGAGAACATCCCGCTCGCGAAGATGTTGCATGAGGATCCTCGAGAGGCGTTGCTCAAGTATGCTGAAGCCGCGAATAAAGACCCAATGTTCACGGCTGCTTGGCAGAAAACACAGCCTGTGACACAGTATGCGAACTTGAGCGATGAGGAGGAAGGACCTGAGAAGAAGAAGGCTAAGCGGTGATGATAATCCCGTTAGCCATGTTCTCCAGTATCCTCGTAGGGCAATTGGGGTAGGAAATATTCTTGGCAAGTGGTCGGTCGAGAGCCGATTGGTGATGGCATGATGGGTTTGGAAACTTGGGTGAGTTTTCTAGCCGGGGAAAGCTGCTACTGGCGAGACATTTGCGAGCAGAACTCCACCCGTTCATCTCTCCGATTAGCTTTGCTGGAGAGTAGTCTTTGGAGAGGATGCAGGGCGACACGCAAGCGCTACTGTGACTTGCAGCAATGTGGGCATCCTGGGCGGGCGGCCAACTCATCGGGCCAGGCCCAGGATTCTTTTACGTGGGGTGGGAAGGGAGCGCGACTGGAGAAGGAATGAAGCGACGCGCCCCTAGATGCGACGGAACCATGTATCTTTATTTCATCCTGCTCTCAGGTGCCTGGAAACAAGACCAGAGCCTGAAGCCTCCCGCAATCACAGATGCCAAGCGGCGTGGATCTGGCATTCTCTGGCGGCTGGGACAGGCGTTACGTTAGGCGAAGGTGGCCGGCAAGGCACCTGGCAGGTAAGCTGGTAAGGAAGCACGGAAGGTAGGTACCTTGTAAGTCCGAAGCCAGCCAGTCAAATGAGTGCTTCCTGCCTGCGTCGGACCAAGGAAAAAGATGGCCCGAGCGCCCTCGCTTGTATGTAATAAGCCTAGCGCATGACGCCTCAGGCATCAACATCTTGCTGTGCTGAAAATTACGGGGACCGCGTTTCACAGACCGCACCAACCATCAATGAATCTTGTCGTTGTCCTCACCTCTCCATCTCAACCGGCACCGCGCGCATCGAAAAATCGCCATACCCCCTCTGCAGGCATCGACACCATCTCGAAAAATTGTCCAGCAACCTTTTCGACGCGATTTCCTCGCGCATTCCGCTCGAGGCAACGCCCCGACGTCGCGCCTTTCCCCCCAAATCGCATTTTCGCCTCAACCGCGATTGCCCCCTTCCACCCGTTTCCCCCCCCACGCTTCCATTCGCGGCACCACAGCCCATTAGGTTGGCGGCCAAACTCCATCGTCCATCTCGGTGAACGACATCCACGCGACCGCCGTGTATCTAGTTTCCCCACGGCATCGCGTTTTTCAGCCCGACCCGACGCCGCCGCTCCCTGCCTCGCCGTGTTGTCGACGACGCGCCGGATTTTTCATCACAACCACTATTAGCATTCTAGTCTTTCATTTCGCGACGAGCCCAGCGCGCGACCAACCTTCCACACGGCTCCACTTGTCCACCTACACGAGTCTTCTTGCAAGATAATGCGCACGAGATAGTCCCTGCATCTCTTGAGATTCCAGCAGTCCATAGATTTGCAGCGCATACACTGCCAAAATGGCTTCTGTTCAAGCACCGCCTGCCGTCCAGCTCCCTGGCGCCGGCATGGCAGCCACCACACCTCAACAGGCCCAGGAGATATTTAACGTAAGATCTCTCTACCCATAGTCTGCGATGTGCATGCATCTCTGCGACGGTCAATCCTCTTGCTTTCGATGGATGATGCTAACACGACCCAGAAATTCAAGCAGATGAGAGAAAGTGGCGTCCCGAACACCGATCCCGAATACATCAAGGCCGAACAGTTCGTCTTGTCCTTCCAACAACAAGCCCGTATGCGACAGAAGCAACAACAATTTCTGCAGCAACAGCAGCAAATGCAGCGACAGATGCAACAGGCTGGCCCCAACGGTGCTGTCAATGGCGCGCAGCCTGGCCAACAGCAGCAGCCTCAACCAACACAACCTCCATCATCTACCGCCCTTGGTGCCTCTGCACTGCCGGCACAGACCTCAAATAATGCCGCCGCGTCTGGATCACCAGCCACTGCAGCCCCGTCTGCTGGACCTGGAGCTGGCCAGTTCAACCCGCAGCAGCTGAGTCTGCTTCGTCAGCAGATTCATGCATTCAAGCTCTTGACAAAGAACGCTGGAGTACCCCTGCCGATGCAGCAGGCTATCTTCGCTCAGCGTGAGCGCCGCAAGGCCATCGCCGCAGAAGCCGCCGCCCATGCTGCTTCATCAACACCAAAAGCGCCATCTCGCGACTCCGCCCAGCCCGGTTCCGCTGCTGGTGAGCCGAAGCCCGAATCTGTGCCAGAGGTTCAAGGTCCAACTTTCAAGACCGTCAAGGCCCCATACGATGACCCTACCTTGGTTCGCAAATCCATCAGTCACTTTGAACACACACAGCGCAAGAACCGCAAGCTTATCCCTGGCCTGTTCCCGACTGGAGTGGACTTCGAACATCTGCGATATGAGCGTGAATTAGTTGTCTTCAACCGCATGAGAGATCGCTATGCCGAGCTGAGAGCTACCCCGGCGAACATTGCTCACTGGGATGCCACCAAGGAGAATGTTGAGCTTGACGACAGTGCCAAGGTCAAAGCCATCATCGAAATGAAGAGTCTAGGTCTCTATGCAAAGCAGCGCGCATTGAGAGATAAGATAGGCCGTTCCATGATGTTCTACGACAACCTCGCTATGACGACTAATCGATCTGGATACCGCCGTACAAAGAAGATGACTGTTCGTGAGGCTAGAATTACTGAGAAGTTGGAGAAGCAGCAGCGAGACATTCGCGAAAACCGGGAGAAGAAGAGGCATATCGACTTCCTCCAAGCTATTACTCAACATCGCAACGAGATCCAGCAAACCGCATCCAGTCAGCGCAACAAGTCCAACAAGCTCAACAAACTCATGTTTGCACAGCATTACAACATCGAGAAGGAAGAGCAGAAGAGAATTGAGCGCACTGCGAAGCAGCGTCTCCAGGCTCTTAAGGCTAACGACGAGGAGGCTTATCTCAAGTTGCTCGACGAAGCCAAGGATACCCGTATCACCCACCTTCTCAGGCAGACCGATGGTTTCTTGCGCCAGCTTGCTGCGTCTGTCAAGAGCCAGCAACGGAAGGCCCAACAAGAGCAGTTCGACGACGAGATCCAAGAAGAGGAAGAGGAGCCCAGTGAAGTGGACAGCGACGACGAAGAAAGCGCACGGAAGATCGACTACTATGCTGTGGCTCATCGCATCAAGGAAGAGGTCACAGAGCAAGCCAATATTTTGGTCGGTGGTACTCTCAAGGAGTACCAAATCAAGGGTCTGCAGTGGATGATCTCGCTCTACAACAACAACCTCAATGGTATCCTTGCCGACGAGATGGGTCTCGGTAAAACCATTCAGACAATCAGTCTGGTCACCTACCTGATTGAGCGCAAGAAGCAGGAAGGCCCGTACCTCGTCATTGTGCCCCTCAGTACTCTCACCAACTGGACCTTAGAGTTCGAAAAGTGGGCGCCGTCCGTGTCCAAGATTGTGTACAAGGGCCCGCCTCTGGCCAGAAAGCAGCAGCAGGATAAGATCCGCCAGGGACGGTTCCAAGTTCTGTTGACCACCTACGAGTACATTATCAAGGACCGTCCGATCTTGAGTAAAATCAAGTGGTTCCACATGATTATCGACGAAGGTCATCGCATGAAGAACCAGAACTCCAAGTTGACGTCCACGATTCAGCAGTACTACCACACCCGATTCCGCCTTATTTTGACTGGAACGCCGCTGCAGAACAATCTTACTGAACTGTGGGCCATGCTCAACTTCACGCTCCCGACCATTTTCAAGTCAGCTAAGACCTTCGATGAATGGTTCAACACGCCTTTTGCCAACACGGGAGGTCAAGACAAGATGGACCTCACGGAAGAAGAGCAGATTCTCGTCATTCGCCGTTTGCACAAAGTGCTGCGTCCATTCCTGCTTCGTCGTTTGAAGAAGGATGTCGAGAAGGACCTGCCGGACAAGACAGAAAAGGTTATCAAGTGCAAGTTCTCGGCTCTCCAATCCAAGCTGTACAAGCAGATGGTCACCCACAACAAGATTCTCGTCAGCGACGGACAGGGTGGCAAGACTGGTGCTCGTGGTCTGAGCAACATGATTATGCAGCTCCGAAAGCTTTGCAACCATCCGTTCGTATTCGACGAGGTCGAAAATCTGCTGAACCCGATGAACGTCAGCAACGATCTGCTGTGGAGAACAGCTGGCAAGTTTGAGCTGCTGGACCGCATTTTGCCCAAGTACAAGGCGACTGGCCATCGTGTGCTCATGTTCTTCCAGATGACAGCCATCATGGACATTATGGAGGACTATCTCAGGTACCGCAACATGAAGTATATGCGTCTGGATGGTACGACTAAGTCAGACGAGCGTTCCGACTTGTTGCGCGAGTTCAACGCCCCCAACTCCGAGTACTTCATGTTCCTGCTCTCCACACGTGCTGGTGGTTTGGGTCTGAACTTGCAGACTGCTGACACTGTCATTATCTACGATTCTGATTGGAACCCTCATCAGGATTTGCAAGCCCAGGATCGTGCTCATCGTATTGGTCAAAAGAACGAGGTGCGAATCTTGCGTCTCATTAGCTCCAACTCTGTTGAAGAGAAGATTCTTGAGAGAGCCAGGTTCAAGCTTGACATGGACGGCAAGGTTATTCAGGCCGGTCGTTTCGACAACAAATCTACGGAGACAGACCGTGATGCCATGCTGCGAACACTCCTCGAGACTGCCGATATGGCTGAAACGGGCGAGCAGGACGAGATGGACGATGATGAGCTCAACATGCTTCTGGCTCGTAACGACGATGAGATCGGTGTCTTCCAGAAGATAGATGAAGAACGCAGGAATGATCCGATCTACGGCGACGGACCCGGCAAACAGGCCAAGCCTCGTCTAATGGCTGAGGATGAACTGCCCGATATTTATCTTGGCGACGGAACCGTTATCGAAGAGGAGCAAGAGACCAGTCTGGGACGTGGAGCTCGTGAGCGCACGAAGGTCAAATACGACGATGGTCTAACCGAGGAGCAGTGGCTCATGGCAGTGGACGATGACGATGACTCTCCCGAAGCCGCGGCCGCCCGGAAGCAAGCTCGCAAGGACAAGCGAGAGACCAACAAGCTCAAGAGGACCGCCATCATGAACGCCGCCGAGGCATCGCCTTCCGCTAGCCGCGCCAGCACTGAAGAGGTGGAGACACCGAAGAAGAGGGGCCGCAAGCCGGGCAGCAAGAACCAGGAGAAGCGTAAAGCAGAGGAGGGTGACGATGAGCCCCCTGCCAAGAAGCGTCGCGGTCCCCAGGGCAGACCCAAAGCCGTGTCCGTGTCTGCGGTCGCTGATGTCCCACGTGTTAATCCCCACCAACGTCAAGTCCTGCAGACCAGTCTGCGTGCTCTCTACGATGGCATGATGAATCTCGAAGTCGATGATCCTGAGCCGCCTGAGGAGGAGGATGACGACGAGTCAGTGGCGGGCAAGCGCATTATCATTGGACCGTTCCTGGTACTGCCTCCCAAGCGCGACTACGCCGACTACTACTTGATCATCCAGAACCCCATCTCGATGAAACAAATCGAGACCAAGATCAAGAAGAATCAGTACTACAGCTTGAGCGAGATGCGCAAGGACGTCGATCTGATGTTCAACAACTGCCAGACGTACAACGAGGAGGCATCGCTGCTCTACCAGGATGCCCAAGTTCTTCAGGTTAGTGACGAAGCCCCCGCCGATTGAAATAATTTGCTAACCTTTACCAGAAATTCTTCCATGCAGAGCTTGAAAAGGAGCTTGAGAAGCATTCCGAGCTACGAGAGCTTGAAAGTGAAATAGCGGCCAACAAGGAGGGGTCTGCGGCGCCGAGCGCTAGTGCGAGCGTTGGGACACCTCAACCGACAACCTCTGGCACTAGAATCAAGCTCATCTCGTCAACAAACGGCACGAAAGAAGCAAATGGCAGTGCCAACGGAGCTCAAAGCGATGAGGATTAGGGTCTTCAATTCTGACGTGTCAGTGGTCACAGGAAGGTGATGTTTAATGAACTTTGAGGGTCGTTTTTTATTCGGGTTTGACGCGAGGCACGACGGCGGCCTAAACTGAACGATTCATCTGGTGGCAAGTGCCGGCTGGCTCCAAGACCACGACGTCACTGCCAAACCCTTCTACACATTTTCCAGGCGTAACGGTTAGGGGGGGTTTTTGCAATATGTAAAGGTTACGGCGGAACGGCACTCATACAACAAATACCATGGGCCAAAATAAGGGCCACCGGGGCAAGAGGCTTTCGAATGGAGGATGGCTGACGAGGACTTCTATCCCCGGTTTCACGGCGGTAGAAGCCTCGTTCGCGAGTATGTTAGATTAGCAAGCAATTGTATTTTAATAGATGTGAGCACGATGTATCGGCCGATTCACTTTCTGAAAACGTACCCAAAAAGTGCCCAGTGTGTCATGGCGAATGTCGCGATGTCTCTCCACGACTGTGTCCCTGTTGATTGGGTTCGACGGTTGATCAATTCGCCCTGAAATGGAGTAGGGAACGCCCCTGTTGGGTTGGGTGTCAATCGTAATTAGTGTTGAAGGCCCCTCCCCCAAGCCAGCAAAGCTCCCCATGATTATTGTTTTTCGTGCGGCCTTAATTTTGGCTTAATAGAGGGGGCTGGGGGCGGTGGTGGTGGTAGGATGGAGCGATCGAGGTTGGTTCGGCGGGCGGGCCGGGGCTGGCGGAGCGCTGACCTCTCTCATCCATCTCTCACGCACCCTCTCACGCACGCTGATCGCTCTCACTGGCAGAAAGCCGCGTGTCGCAAAGCTGCATTTCTACTCTGTACATCTTCTCTCTTTCTGTTTTTCCTCCCTCGACATCTCTGTCGCAATACGCATACATCAACGAAAACCATCGGAACCAACGTCGCTTTTCATCGGATATCGGTCGCGTTCATCGGCGCTGCAGTTTTACAGCACTGCGGCATCGATTCCACTTGGGCTCCGTCTGTCTTTGAAGGGCTTGGGTTGGGCTGGGCTGAGCTGGACTGGAGACGTCCGTCGCACGGTTGATCGCCTGCCTGCCTTACCTTGCCTTTTCCTTACTTTAGAGGGAGGGGCCACGGCGCAGAGGGGCGCGCGCGCGCGCAGCGAGCGCAGCAGGTTTTGAGGGAGACTGCGTCGTGGTGTGCGTTAGGCACACGTACGCACACACCAAACTCTTTTTTATTTTCCCGACCTTTGCTTTGGGTCTTGCCATTGCATGCCCGTATTCTAAGGTTTTTATTGGTGTTCGTCCATTGTTGGGAGAGGGAAAAGAGTGCCATTGCGTCCGATATCGTGAGACGCTTTAGATGGACCACACGTCCCCGTCCGCCCGCGGCAGCGGTCCGGAGGCCAAGGGTCCAGGGCCCGCGGGAGGAGGGCCTGGGGGAGATGGGGTGGGAGCAGGAGTTGTGTCAGTGTTGCCGGACGACATTTCTTCTGCATCTTCAATGTCGGACGAGGAGGATGCGGGCGGATATAGACCGCCGACGCCCCCGCCTCAGAGTCACGGGCAGAAGCGGCCCCCGCCGCAGAAGAGGCATTCGCAGCAGCAGTACTCGCCTGTGCCTCCGCCAGCACCGACGCCTTTACAACCGCGGGATTCGTTCAAGCCTGCCAGGGTTGAGAAACGGGAGCGAGAGAGGGACTTGCCGAGGGGGGATCGATATATCCCCCGGGACCGCGACAGAGACCGGGATCGAGATCGGGACAAGGACGACGACAGAGAAAGAGACAGAGACAGGGAGAGTCCTCGCCGCGAAAGGGACTTACCGACCAGCCGTGACAGAGATTGGGACAGCGAGAGCCCGCGGCGTGAAAGAGAGAGCCCGCGACGTGAAAGAGAGAGCCCGAGACGTGAGAGAGACGTCCCAAGAAGCCGCGATAGGGACTGGGACAGGGAAAGCCCACGGCGCGAAAGAGACGTTCCGAGGAATCGCAATAGGGATTGGGATAGGGAGAGTCCGCGCCGCGACAGAGACCGCGACAGGGACAGCCCGAGGGATCGCGACAGAGAACGGGACAGTCCGCCGCGGGACTTGAAGAGGCACAGCGTCGCGGTAGACCCCTCGCACCTCCGACGACCAACGGCGCCGCCGGCGAATGAGAGCACCCTCCACCACAACGGTAGCAAACGACAGAGCATCACGGAGCGGCTTATGAGCACGTGGCAGGCGCGCAAGGGAGGTGAGCCGCCGGCGGGGAATTCCCTCACGGCTCCCTCCCGGCGCGCCTCGTCCGCCTCCACGGCCGTGGGCAGGTTCAACCCCATCGCCCGCGTGCGCGAGTGGCTCGACACGTGCAACGCGGAGCACGGCGACCACTGCTCCGGCCCGCCGGGGGAGACGTGGCGGCCGCTGTGGCTGATCGACTCCGTCAACCGGTGCCTTGTGAGGGCGCGGGCGACGGACCGGTATATCGCGCTGAGCTACGTGTACGAGCCGCCGCTGCCGAGCACGAGGGGCCCCGTGGAGACGTTGAGGGAGAACCTGGACATGCTGACGGCGAGTCTGGACGATGCGGATATACCGCAGACGATCCTGGACGCGATGTGGTTGGCGAGGAAGGTCGGGGTGAAGTACCTGTGGGTGGACCGGTTCTGCATTGTGCAGGATGACGACGTGGAGAGGGAGGAGTACGTGAAGAATATGGCGTACGTGTTTGCGAATGCGTACCTTACGATTGTGGCTGCGGCAGGGGACGCGGAGAGCGGACTGAATGGGCTGGTGAGGCGGACGCCAGCAAAGGCGCCGCCAGGAAAGATGAAGCATGAGGATTTGATCCTCGGGTCGAGGTGGGCCACACGGGCGTGGACGGTGCAGGAGGGTATGTACTCGCGGAGGAAGGTGTACGTGTTCGAGGAGACGGTGACGTGGGAGTGCCATTGCGAGGTGTGGCAGGGGGCGCCCGGGGCTGGGGGCCGGTTCAGCAAGATACTAAAAGGGGGCAACAAGAACGCGCCGTGCCTGGCCCGGACGTTCCCTGCGGCGACGGGATTCCTGCACCCCGTGTGGCCCGACATGGACGAGTACGCGCGGATTGCGATGGACTACAGCTCGAGACGGGTGACGCTCATGTCCGACACGACGAGGGCCCTGCGGGGCATCACGACGGTCATGTCCAAGTCCTTCGCGGGCGGGTTCGTGTTCGGGATGCCGGTGTGCTTCCTGGACATCGCCATGCTGTGGCAGCCCCGCGCGATGATTAGGAGGAGGATGATGGTGCAGCCCGTCACGGGGATGAACCCGCTCCCGAGCTGGAGCTGGCTCGGATGGCACTACGACGGGGTTCCCGCGGACATGTCGCTGTGGAGGGCGGCGGCGGATTACGTGCAGGACGCGCCGCCGGTCTCAGGAGGGGGCCGAAAGGAGAAGCGGTTCAAGAGCCCGTACGCGTTCCGGCTGAGGCCGTTGGTCAGCTTCGAGCTTACGGACCGGGCGACGTACACGCGGCTGCCGAACGATGGGCTGATGTTCCGTGACCGGCGGCACCGCAGGACGCAGCCGTTGCCGGCGGGGTGGTCGAGGAGCGGCGGTGGCGGGTTTCGGTATGCGGGGGATCCGGAGTGTGTTTTCCGGTACCCGGTGCCGGTGGGGGAGATGAACGGGCCGGACGCGGCAGCGGTGCCGTTAGGGGATTACTCGATGAACGCGACGCTACTATCGTTCAGCACCACGGTGGCCTACCTGGAGGTCGACTTTGCGATGGCGAGGAACGCTGCGCCGGTGGATGGCAAAGGTGCCGCCGCCGCCGCCGCGGGAGCTGCTGTCAATGGTGCTTCCGCCGTGGGAATCGCTGGGCCCGGCAGGGGATATGGCGTGCCGCTTGCGATCGGGAACATCTGGTCGCGGACGGGCAAGTGGTGCGGGAACGTGACGGCGCACGACAGCTGGCTCGGCCTGCAGGGGGCGAACCACACCGGGGAGGAGAAGTTGGAGTTCATTGCCGTGTCGACGGCGAGCGAGAGGGGCGGGAGCCACGTGTTTGATATCCAGGCGTTCCGGGACAACATGGACGAGGACGAGATTGTGGACTTTGTTAATGTGCTGTGGGTTGAGAGGGTGGGAGGTGTGTGCTACCGGAGAGGACTGGGGCATGTCGTGCAGCGAGTTTGGGATGCGGTTGCGAGGGATCGGGTTGAGATATTGCTTGGGTAGTGTGTGCCTTTGGCCGTGGGTTGAAAATGAGGTGGAAGTTTGTTCAGATAGTTGTAGTGAACAGGATCTTGGATGGGGGGCCATCTGAGGTGATTTATGATTAGCAGGTGGTTGACGATGGGTTGGCAACGTAGTTGAGGGCACATCTAGGTGATGCCTTTTGTGTGGCCTACGATGCTTGGTGTTCTGAGCACGGAAACAAGCTCTACTCTTCGGACTTCGCAATGACCCAATTAATATGAATCATGCATGTTCAATCTCGCCATTTGACTGCCTGTCCTGCTCAGGTATTAAGCCAGACATGGCCGATGCTCATCGATGCCCGACAGCGTTTTGTCTGCCTGTGAATCTGAACGGCTTTGCAGATCACCCCAAAGTCTCGCGGAGCTTACCTCAGAAACCCCAATCATGTATCCCCGCTTGATCCAGGAACGGCGCAGATCCACGTGGTTCATCCCACGTCAATTGTCCGAACCTGGAGCTAAATCTGAAGATGGGGGGTCACATGGTAGGATTCGAGATTATCCATTGGATCTGCCCATGAATCCCATGTTCAGGGGATGTGTATTTTAGTGTTCCTCAATGTTTTGCATTCGTGTGCTAGTCGAGCTTGACCGCCTAGATACTTTGCTCACCCTCCCCTCACCGACGGACATAGCCATGATGTTCGTACGTGGTATGGGGATTGACTCGTCAGTCCCGACACGGTAGGTGGAATGCACACCGTAGTTCCTCTAAGAAATCTAGGGTATTGTGTTGCATTGAAGCTCAGGTGGACTAGGCCTTTTGGAAGAAAGCTGCATTGCTGTGGTTTTGCTGCTCTGCTGAGCTCGGGTTCCTCGCTGGATGGCCGCATCTTACAATGACGTCAAACCAGCCCCCATGCCAACACTCCTGACGACGGATAAGGCGACGATAAGAGGGCAACACACCTCTCGCATGCTATTTTAACTCAAATGCCAACTCAGCAATTCTGTATTCGTTGTGACCTTGATAGATTCATTTAGCTGCGCAATCCACTAATGCTGGAATGCCACGCGTTCAGTATCTCGTCAGAGGTTAGGCCATCAGCAGCGCGAGCGCTTCATTCAATCGTTCAGCGGTGCAATTCAGTTGACCACGACAAAGGGATGGCTATGGCTTGGCCCGACCAAAAGTTTGTGACTTGTGTGTGTCGGTGGGCAGCAGAAAGGAGTGCCCATGGGATGGGACAAAAATTACTACAGCTCTTATTTGTTTTGGCCCAGGCTGACGCCTAACTCATCTGTGTGATTGAGACACATTATCCACGACCAATTGCTAAACTACATCACCGTGCAAAAGAGATTGGTATTCGCACGAATACGCAAAAGACTGATCGTGGCAGGGCTCGAACCTGCGACCTCTCGCGGACATCAATGTGAGGCGAGAATCTTAACCAACTAGAACACACGACCTTATTGAACTTTTTAGCCAATTCTGAGCCTGAGTTCCCTTGCAGAACAAGCTGGCTTGATTACAGCGAGATTTTGTTGACCTGGACCTCATTGAGCCGAATAGAACCGCAACATCCTCCGGAACAACTACAAATGCTTTTGCATGAGCTGAGAAACTCAATGGCATTCATCAATTGACAAAGGGAGAGAGAGCTTCCCTATTCATCTGGTTTTTGCTCTTAGTTTTAGTTGCGAGGTTGATCGCTGGATGTTGCTTCATAACAAGCGTCCAACTTCTGCTCAACAGGGCACATCACATATTCGTCTTCAGAACATATAAATCATCCTAGTCTCGATCACAGGTGAGCATTGAGACTCAGTAGTTCTTGATAGAAGCTTGCTTTGACTGAAATCAAAGCATTGAAAGCAGCTCAAACATCACAACAGCTTTGAACGCTGATCCAAAAAGTTAGGCCGGTACCGGGGCGAACCCCACCACCCACGCAAAACCTGAACAGGAGGGGTTGAGTTCAGTGGACAGCAGCGGATCCGTGGTGACGCATCTCGAAGAGGAACCTCCTTCAACACCTTTCAGCCACGGCTAAAAAAGCACACAAGTACACGCAGATATGACTCGATTCAGGCCGTGTATAGACCTGCACGCGGGGCAGGTCAAGCAGATCGTCGGCGGCACGCTGGACAGCACGACGGCGGAGCTCAAGACCAACTTCGTGTCGACGCACCCGCCGGCCTACTTTGCGAAGCTCTACCGGGACAATGACCTCACGGGCGCGCATGTGATCATGCTGGGGCCGGGGAACACCGAGGCCGCGAGGGAGTCGCTCAAGGCGTGGCCGGGCGGGCTGCAGGTCGGCGGAGGCATCAACGACGGGAACGCGAGGGAGTGGGTTGAGGCGGGCGCGGAGAAGGTCATCATCACGTCGTACCTGTTCCCCGAGGGCCGGTTCAGCCAGCAGAGGCTGGACGCGGTGCTGGAGGCCCTCGGGGGCGACAGGGGCAAGCTCGTGATCGACCTGAGCTGTCGGCGGCGCGGGGACGATAAGTGGTTTGTGGCTATGAACAAGTGGCAGACCATCACGGACATGGAGGTCAACGCAGGTTGGTTTTCACGTTTGAAATCAATCACTTGCTGAAGAAGTGGCTGACTGAGGTAAACACATTTTTCCAGAATCTATCAAGCAGTTGGAGCCGTACTGCTCCGAGTTTCTCATCCACGCCGCGGACAACGAGGGTCTGCAGAAGGGCATTGACGAGAAGCTCGTGGAGAGGCTGGCGGAGTGGTGCAGCCTGCCGGTCACGTACGCAGGCGGCGGCAGGAACCTCGAGGACCTGGAGATGGTGAAGAAGCTGAGCAAGGGCAAGGTGGACCTGACGATTGGCAGCGCGCTGGACTGTTTCGGTGGCAACGGGGTCAAGCTGGAGGAGTGTGTGGAGTGGAACAAGGGCCAGCAATGAGGCAGTAGGGTAGCAGTCATATCAAAAAAAGTTCTTGGGACATTGAAAAGACACCTCTCTCTATCTTTCTCGCAGAGTTGTTGAGATGACAGGCGTCACATTCGGGTGGGTGACCGTGCGGCTGGGACGAGGGCGGCGGCGTTGAGTCGTTTCAGCCAGTGCGACGCTAGAAAACCGGAAGAGAAGGCGGAAGAGTAGAAAGAGAAAAAAAACAACGAGTTAGTTTAGTTTCCAGTTGTAAAGTAAAACACACGATACTCCTCTTTGTTTGGTGCCCGTGGCGATACGATGAGGCTAAGGGGACTAAGAGGGCCCCGTTCTGCGAGATTTACGTACATGTGTACGTACATGGAGATGCACGATCGATGATGTGCTTCCGGCTGGGCATTTATTCTCCTTCGTATCCGATCTTCCCCTCTCTCGCCGGGGCTGAGGAGGATGACAGAAGGAAGAGGAGGGGGAGGCAGTGGAAGGGAGGGGCAATCCGATGGGATGGGGGCAGATGGTGCACCTGGCTCGTGGAGAGAGACAGTGAGGATGGAGAATGGAGACAGACAGAGACTGGAGACTGGAGGCGTCTGGACATGGGATCTTGACAGGAGGAACCACAAGGGGAGGGAGGGGGAGTCAGTCAGTTGCGGCGCGGCGCACATCGGGCCTTGGGAAAAAAGCGATGGCTTTTGCGCCGGCGGGGGCGGGGACGCAGATGGTGCAGCTTCTAGGAACAAAGTCCGGGCGATCAATTGCGCGGCTACCTTACCGTAGGTTAGCTACATGTGAAAGAGGCCGGATCATGACTTGACAGACGCAACGGTTTATAACGAAGCTAGAAGATAACAACCTTTCAAAAGAGAGGAGAAACACGCCAGGCAAACGGACGGCTGCAGCTAGGCAACCCGAGTTGCGCAAGTGAGGGACCACGGCAAGATAAGACAGCGGGAAGGAGATATCCGCTTTTCGGAGGGCATGGTGATACTCTACCAACACGCAATGCACCTCTGCAGTACCCCTAGCAACTCCATAAATGGCCTGCCCAGTACGAATAGTCTTCTACGGATACATAACCCAAGCCTCGAGGCTAAAGACTAATAAACAGCCTACCCAAGACTGAGAGAGGGCCCTGTCAGACTCGACACAGATGCGATGCGCAGATAGACAGAAAGCACGACATCGTGTGCCTTGCGCCGGACAGAAGCGAGCTCTATGGAGCTGGACCAGGGACGGGAAACAAGGTGCTGGGCCACGGTCATCACGATGACTTGGACTTGGTTGAATGGCATTGTCTGATGGGATGGCGAGATCCTTGCTCTCAGCTGCCGTGTTGGCCCGGCGAATTGTGCATGTACGGCGGCTCGACAACAACACAGGAAGCAGGTTGTTGTTTACTTTGACTCCCCGTCTGCAGCTTTTGGCCTTGCCTTGCCTATGCCCATGCCTGGCCTTGCATACTAAGTACAATGCCCTTCCTTGCTTGGTGTCCCTGGACAGGCAGGCATCCGACCACTACACGGCTAGAGGCTTTGCTTTGCTCTCCATGTTGCTTGCTTGCTTGCTTCTTCTCCCTGCAGTGTGTTCCTTGGGTTGGCCATCGAGGCCCATTACTCGCTCGCTAAGGTCACAGAAAGAGTGGGAACGTGCGGCAGAAACAGTGGTGATGGAGTGGTGCTCCAGGCGGGTAGCTGGTGGATAGCGGCGGCCTTTGGGGCACCTGCCAACTGAAGCTGCCCCCCCATCCACTGACTGCCGTGTGTGCCCCTCGTCTACGGTAGGTACCTCGTAGAAGTAAATACGCCGTCGCCAGGAGCAACGCCCGCCCGACAAAGAGCTGCCTTCCTTGTTTGTTTACTTCTCCCGCACCCGCGCACCAATCACCGCTTCCCCGCCTCAACCTCGATTGCAACCGCCGCCTGCCCTTAAACAACAAGACAAACCACACCGACCAACAACACGGCCTGCTTCTTCTCTTGTTGCCTTCTCACCACCTTCCCCCCGTCGTCAGGAACGCTACTCTTATTGTTGCTGCACTTTGGCGGCACCGCCTTTTGGTCTTTTTTTTTGTGTGCGTTGCCTGTTGTTTTGCGACCTTCTACCCGCATCCCGCCATTCATCCGAACCTTCTCCTGCTCCATTCCAGCCATCCCTCGTCAATCAATCACACCCACCAGAGCATCGGAATTTTACCACGGCAAGGAAAAAAAAAAGGGCAGAGCGAAAGAAGTGTCCCCACGAGACGCAATACGTCAAACATTCATTCTAGTACAACCTTTACGCATCGCGTTTTCCCCTTTGTGTCTTGCGAGCCGCTCCGAATTCTACGACAATCCCCGAGAGCAGGATCCGCCGCAGCAAAGCCTGCCCGACCCTGAATTTCTTTTCGAGCATTCATCGCCAAAACTCATCTACTACTACGACTGTTTTCCGCCAGATGCGCCTTCGCGGCCACAGAAACATCACCTAAAATGGCATCTCAAGAGGACCCAGTAAGTGCCTCTGCCCGCAGCCCAGTGCTCATTGCATCCTCGCGACTAACACCGTCACCTCAGGTACACCCTTTGCGCATCTCCAAGGGCTCCACGGGCTCAACGGGATCACCGCCTCCCAAGGCAGCGAACCTCCCTCGCGCACTTTCAGAGTTGTCCCCTTCGGACCTGAGACGAAACTCTCCCAGCTTCAAGCAGCCATCCAAGGTAAGCGGATCGTGTCTTAGACAGCCCCCCCGGTCCAGAACCTCCTCTTACAAACGCCGCGCAGAAGATGACTCTGAACACCGACTCCTCTCCATTCCAGTCGTCTCCAATGGAGACCACCACGTCACCTAGGCTGTTTTGGCAGAAGCGCAACCTCGACTCCATCAGCACCGAGACCCAGAACCTATACGGCGGTCGCCACGGCTCGCCCTCACCAACCCGTCGCACATCCATCGAACGCCTGCAAAAGGCTTCGCGCGTCAAGAATAGCAACATCCTCGCTCTCGAGCAGAAGCAGGAATACGACCCTACCAGAGTGCCTCAGATCGAACGCCCTCTTGCCAACTACTCGGCATCTGCATATGGAGGATCAGCCGCCCCTACCGCCATCATCAACGGGCTTCGGTCCTCGGACTCTCTGAGCAGGGGTTTCGGCCACCAGCGCAACAACAGCAGCAAGTCGAACATCCCCATCTACAGCCCGGCAACGAGCCCGATCAAGGCTTCTGGCGACGCCACTCCGATGCAAGCCAGCTTCTCCAGCCCTCCCAAGAGCCCTGGCAAGGAGCCCGGATCACCCATGAAGTCGTCGCTCTCTCGCAGCAACTTCAAGAGCAGCTTCGACCCCGAGACCGGCACATGGTCTGCCGATACCTCCTTTGACGACCGCGAGCTTCCCTCCGGCAAATCCCTCCACAGACACGCCAAGAGCGTCACCTTTGATGCGGCGCCGCCTCAGATCAACGAGTATGAGATGGCCACACCCGACATTTCATCCATCGGATCCAACTCCCGCGAGGGCAGCTTCGATTCTATGGATGACGAGGATGATGATGAGGAGCACTACCATCTCGGCGACCACGACATCGGAGAGGACAGCTTCGACGCTTCTTTGGAGGACACAGATAAGACACCTGTCGTCGGCCCCGATGACTGGAGGCAGTCTGCTGAGCGCATGGAGGACCCCTTCGAGAGCAGCCCCATGCCCGAGTCACTGCCCGCCCGCCCCGGTAGGCCAGAGCATGTTCGCTCCGACTCCTCCACCTCAGACCATCGCCCCTTGCCGCCTCTCCCCGGCATGGGTGGCTCATTCACCCGCAGCGAGTCTCGCCTCAGCGATTCTCGTGGCTCACCTGGCATCTCAGCTACTGCTGAGAGGATGCTGGGTACCCACCGCAGCTTGCCTTCACCGCCGCCCGCGGCCGCTGCTGCAAGCAAGTCGGAGATCCAAAGTATCGGCAACGGCAAGATGACTCTGGAGGAGAGACTGAAGCTTATGATGCTTTCGGACGACCACAAGTCGGCCAGCGAGCAGCAGAGAGAGCGTCGTCTCCGTCGTGGCGCTCAACGCGATAGATTCCAGAGCCCTTCGTCCGAGACGGAGACTGCTGAATCGAGCATGCTCGAGGCCGATGAGGAGGATGACACCATCGGTGACATCTCGGCGCTCGAGGACTATGAGCTGCCAACTCGCATCTCTCGCGAATCCATCCTCCGCCGCGTTAACACTGGCGAAACCGCACAAGAGGCCGAGTACTTCTCCTCCCCGGCGCCTAGCTCCAGCCCGGAGCGCCCAAGCCCTGAGCGTCGCCTCCCCCTTCCCCTTGACCCCGACGTTCCTATTCCTTCCACCGAAGACTCCATCTTGGACGATGAAGTTTCCGACTTGTCGGATGAGGAAGGCAGTGTCATCATCCACCGCGATGAGGACACTGATGCCGAGACTGAGTCTATCACTGACTTCTACGCCCGATCCGAGGATGAGAACGATGCGGACTCTGCAAGCCACTACTCTGACGGCCCCGCTCGCGTGCCTGAAGTCACTCAAGTGGATGAGGAGATCCTCACTCCTCGTGCTGCTAGCCCCCAGCAGGCTTTCCAGTCTTTCGATATTGCTTCTGAAATAAGGCCTCTTGAGCTCAAGTCCGACAAGACTGGAAACACCCCTACTGAGTCGCCTGTCGAGTCTCCTATGGAGCTGCCCGCCAAGGAGCCTACCCCCGAGCCTGAGGAGGTCATTGAGCCTGAGGCTGAGATGGAACCCGAGATTCAGGAGATTGAGCAAGAGCAGGAGAAGCAGGTCGAGTCGCCTGCTTCCATCCGTTCTGGTCTGCCTGAGATGAAGGATGAAGCCAAGGAGAATGAGTTCTCCAAGGGTCTACAGTCCTTCATGTTGCCGCCTCCTCCCGAGCCCACAGCTCAAGACCTGGAAGAGCTTCAGCCCCCTCCCAAGATGGCTGACGTTCAGGCTCAGCGTCCCTTTACTCCTCCCCAGCTTCAGGGTCTCTACGACGGCTCTGGCTGGGGCGAGCCGGAGGATGAATACGACGATGAACCCGGTACGCCCGAGTCCGTCATTCATCGCCCGATTGAGGATTCGGACGAGGAGTCAGACTTTGAGGAGTCCATGCTCGAGCATCCTCCCTCGATTGCCGAGGAGCCCCTGGAGTCCCCTGCTATTCCCGAGCGTCAGGCAACCATCAAGGCCTCCGGCTCCAAGCTCAAGACTAGGCCGTCCAACACTCCCTCCGACATCATTGCCATGAGGGAAGCCCGGCGTCAAGTTAGTCGCGAGGTGCCAGATATTCCCCCTATCCCTGAGCGTCACCGCAACAGACTGTCTCGCGATCTTACCGAGGAGTCCAACGTCGGTGAAGACTACTACACACAGCGCCACCCGAGCTTCAAGAAGCGCAGTCTCACCCTGGATCTTGACTTTGGTCTCAGTCTCGACCAAGATTTCGATCGCGTCATCGAACAACAAAAGGTTGCTTTTTCTCAACAAGTTTACGAAGCCTCCCAGATTGCGAGCAAAAGCCTCAGCAGACAAGCGTCTAGGCCGACCGCATCCAACAGAGAGATCATCGCAGAAGAAACACAATCACAGAATGCTAACATCAAGTCTCGTAATCAGCGCGGATACCTCATGCGTCAGAACACAAAGCTTGTTACCGCAAGTGACAAGGAATCTGATGACAAGTGGAAGACCAGATCGGCTGGCAACTCCCCGGTCAAGACCGACCGCCCGCAGTCGTGGACCGTCGAGCCCTGGAATGGTAGGCCCAGACAGAAGAGCGTACGACGATCGCGCGCCCACACCAGCGGACCGGCGCCGCCCTTGCCCGGCCAGGAGAGCAACGCCCACACTCTCAACCCGTTGGCTGAGGAGGACTTGAACCCCGAGTTGGCTACCGAGGAGAGCGGTGAGCGCGGCAGACTCTTCATCAAGGTGTTGGGTGTGAAGGATCTGGATCTTCCCATCCCTAGAAGTGAGTCGTACTGTTCGTTGAAGCGCCATATGATGCTAACGATTCCCAGACGAGCGAACTTGGTTCAGCTTGACCCTCGACAACGGTGTTCACTGTGTCACCACGGCTTGGCTTGAGCTCGCCCGCAACGCTCCCATCGGCCAGGAGTTCGAACTTGTTGTGCCTAATGATCTCGAGTTCCAACTGACGCTCAACGTCAAGCTCGAGAAGCCTTTGCCGAAGAAGGTCGTTGTGCAGTCGTCTCCTACTAAGGCTAGCAAGCCCAAGACGTCTACCTTTAGCAGGGTGTTCGCGTCCCCCAAGAAGCGCAAGGAGATGGAGCTGCGCGCCCGTGAGGAGGAGGAGAGACAGGCAGCGCAGCAGCGTGAAGCCCAGGCCAGACAAATGAGGGTTGCGCCCAGCGCCTGGGATTTGTTGTCACCCCTCGCCGCCGAGGATGGCAGCTTCGCCCGCTCCTACGTCTGCCTCAAGGAGCACGAATCTCGCTGCTACGGTCGCCCATACGTCGTCAACGTTGCCTGCTTCAACGAGTGGGCCACGGAGGAGGCTGCCTTTGCGTCCAGCGTCAAGAGCAAGCGTGGTAGCACCGCGGTTGTTCGCCGTGCCCCGTACAAGATTGGAAAGCTGGAGCTCCAGCTCCTCTTCGTCCCGCGCCCTAAGGGAGCCACGGACGACGACATGCCCAAGAGCATGAACTCTTGCATTCGGGAGATCAAGGCTGCCGAGGAGCGTCTCTCCAAGAACTGGGAGGGCCACTTGAGTCAGCAGGGTGGCGATTGCCCGGTAAGATAGATACCTTAATGTCTGTTACTTGACTTCTTTGCTAACATCACTCTTAGTACTGGCGTCGTCGCTACTTCAAGCTCGTCGGCACCAAGCTGACGGCCTACCACGAGGCAACTCGTCAGCCCCGTGCCACCATCAACCTCGCCAATGCCAAGCGCCTGATTGACGATCGACGCGCATTGACGGAGAAGGAGACGACAGGCAAGGGTGGCCGTCGCCGCAGGTCTGCCTTTGCCGAAGAAGAAGAAGGCTACATGTTCGTCGAGGAAGGCTTCCGCATCCGTTTCAACAACGGCGAGCTCATCGACTTCTACGCCGACACGGCCGAGGACAAGGAGGGCTGGATGCAAGCGCTCACGGACGTCGTCGGTCGACCCGAGGGTGGAGGCGAGGGCGACGACGGACCTCGCAGCAAGGGCAAGTGGTGCGAGCTCGTGCTCAAGAGAGAGGATGCGCTGCGACGTCGGGCAGAGGGCCGGCGCGTGCACTCGCGGACCAAGAGCACATTCAACTAAAGCGATACCCCCTTCTTTTCTTTATGATTTTGGCATGACCGGGACGATCGGAGAGGACGAGGACGAAGGAACGGGAGACACGGCATGATCTATGATTCTCTTGGACCAGGTGTTCGTGATCGGATGATAATGTGTCTCGTCCGCTCTTGACCGAAAAAAGATGGCTTGCGTCTGCCTCGCGCACCCTCGCCCCAATGTTTAATAATTTGGCTGATAGGACGGCGTTTGGGCATGGTTTGGAAGGCAAGCAAGCAAGCAAAGGGTGGAAGTTCCGGAGATTGTGAGAGTCATTGTCTATGTGGTTTTTCTCTTTTCCTACTAGATTCGTACGCGGTCTCTGGAAGCATTATTCTGGAGTCGGGTTTCCCGTTTAGGTGTACGTATGATGTAGTACTAAAATGGGAGGTTTATATCATTTTGACATGCGCGGGTTGGTGGTGGTTGTCGTGATAAAGTCGACGCGGCATGCAGCCTCTCATCTCGGTGAGGAAAAGGATCACGTGCAGCACAGGCGTGATGTGCATGAACTTGAGAACTTCCATGGCTGGACCCTTGCTCCATCATTTTGCTGTAAGTGGAGGGAGCCACGGAGGCGCAGCTGGCCCGGGGGAGTTTCACGCAAGGTATCCATCTGTAATTCCAGCGCTGGACGTCTTCAGTAAGTGGAAGTGGGTACGTAGCTCCTTGGACGTGGGCAGCGGGCTGGTTGCGAGCCTGTGAGTGACGGGGCGGCGGGATGGGCGCAATGAGCAGCAATGTCGCTCCAGTGTCGCTCCTCGTAGCGGCGGGAAGGTAGAAGAGGCAGGTCCAGTGAGGTGGGTGGAAAAGGTACCTGAAATAAGGTACCCTGGTGCTGCGGATGGAACCAGCAGCACCACACTCATCTGTCAAGGTCCCGCCGGGCCCGCCATTGGGAGGAACAGCGGGCAGCTCTACACTACACTAGTGTACCTTGAGGTAAGGTAATGCTAACTGTAGCTATTGATTCCTCCGCGTTCCCAGTCGTCGTCCTCGTCGTCCCCTTTTGCTTTTGGATCACCAAAACTCGTCGCAGGCCTTGGCCTTTTGCACACAGCATTCTCTATCGTCTATCGTCTGCATCTTTGCGATACCCCTTCCCTCCCTCTCCCGACTCACCCCCGTTTTTTCCATACCCGTTTAACATAATACATCATTCCATATGGCGGGCCGCTTTGTACGAGCGTCGAAGTATCGTGGGTCTCTCTCCGTCATCCCCTTTGTCGCAACCGCCCGCGTTGCGCTGCGACGAGCTGACTGCTGACGCCCGGCCCCTCTCTACACAGGACACGTCTTTGGAAAGCCGACTCGCAAGGAGTTCTGCTACGACAACCTTCACATTAGCCGAAATGCGTGGGATACCAACCTGGTGAAGGTAAGGGGGGACTAGACTTTTTTTTTCTACGGTCGTCGGGCACGAGACACGTCAATGGGTCGCCCGCGAAATTGAAGAGACGCAAAGAAGCTGACGAGACACTTCTCTCTACTGCTAGGCCAACCCCGAATACCTCTCGGTCAATTGGGAAGCTGGCGGCGGCGGCGCCTTCGCCGTCATCCCCCTCGGCGAGAAGGGAAAGCTCCCCGACCAGATCCCGCTGTTTCGAGGCCATACCGCCACCGTCTTGGATACCGACTGGTACGCCGATCCCGCGACCGCCCTGCCCCCCCTACACCTGCCTCAAGCGCACGCGACATGCTGACGGCTCACGTGCCAGGAACCCCTTCAACGACCGCATCATCGCCTCCGGTTCTGAGGACGGAAAGGTCTTTATCTGGGAGGTTCCCGAGAACTTCACCCTCTACACGGATGCCGAGGAGCCCGGCCATGTTTCTCCCGTCAGCAAGCTCGCCGGCCACTCGAGGTTCGTCGCG